CTATTGTTTACTCTGGCCTTGCACATCCATTATCTACCTCTCATCATGTTATTGTCTTCAGTCAGCGTCCCTTTGTCTCCTGTTAGTCACTATTGAGCACGTTGCATCAGAGGTCCTGCTGCTGTTCACTTTTATATTTTTTTATATTTTTTTATATAACTAGTTGTGTTAGTTTATTTTTGCTAATGTTGTTGTTTGCTGCAAATTGAGTAGGAGTGTAACGCAATTTCAATTTCTATGTATGTCCTGTACATATGCAGAATTGACAATAAAAATCAATCAATCAATCAATCAATCAATCAATCAAAGCTTGTAGATGACTGTAATTTTTATCATAGGTACTCTTCAACTGTGAGTGATGGAATCTAAAACAAAAATTCAGAAAAATACAATGTATGATTTTTAAATAATTAATTTCCATTTCATTGTGTGAAATAAGTATTTGATACACCAGAAAAATGAAACTTAATATTTGGTACAGAAACCTTTGTTTGCAATTACAGAGATCAGACGTTTCCTGTAGTTCTTGACCAGGTTTGCACACACTGCAGCAGGGATTTTGGCCCACTCCTCCATACAGATCTCCTCCAGAGCCTTCAGGTTTTGGGGCTCTCGCTGGGCCACACGGACTTTAAGCTCCCTCCAAAGATTTTCGATGGGATTCAGTTCTGGAGACTAGCTAGGCCACTCCAGGACCTTAAGATGTTTCCTACGGAGCCACTCTTTAGTTGCCCTGGCTGTGTGTTTTGGGTCGTTATCATGCTGGAAGACCCAGCCACGACCCATCTTCAGTGCTCTTACTGAGGGAAGGAGGTTGTTGGCCAAAATCTCACGATACATGGCCCCATCCATCCTTCCCACAATATGGTGCAGTCGTCCTGTCCCCTTTGCAGAAAAGCATCCCCAAAGAATGATGTTTCCACCGCCATGCTTCACGGTTGGGATGGTGTTTTTGGGGTTGTACTCATCATTCTTCTTCCTCCAAAACATGACGAGTGGAGTTTAAACCAAAAAGTTCTATTTTTGTCTCATCAGACCACATGACCTTCTCCCATTCCTCCTCTGGATCATTCAGATGGTCATTTGCAAACTTCAGACGGGCTTTGACATGCGTTGGCTTGAGGAAGGGCACCTTGCGTGCACTGCAGGATTTTAATCCTTGACGGCGTAGAGTGTAACTGATTGTTTTCTTTGAGACTGTGGTCCCAGCTCTATTCAGGTCATTGACCAGGTCCTGCCGTGTAGTTCTGGGCTCATTCCTCACCTTCCTCAAGATCAATGATGCTCCACGAGGTGAGCTCTTGCATGGCGCCCCAGACCGAGGGAGATTTTCCGTTATTTTGTATTTCTTCCATTTTCTAATAATTGCACCAACTGTTGTTGCCTTCCCACCAAGCTGCTTGCCTATTGTCCTGTAGCCCATCCCAGCCTTGTGCAAGTCTACAATTTTATCCCTGATGTCCTTACACAGCTCTCTGGTCTTGGGCATTGTGGAGATGCTGGAGTCTGATTGATTGAGTGTGTGGACAGGTGTCTTTTATACAGGTCACGAGTCCAAACAGGTGCAGTTAATACAGGTAATGAGTGGAGAACAGGAGGGCTTCTTAAAGAAGAACTAACATGTCTGTGAGAGCCAAAATTCTTACTGGTTGATAGATGATCAAATACTTATTTCACACAATAAAATGGAAATTAATTATTTAAAAATCATACATTGTATTTTTCTGGACTTTTGTTTTAGATTCCATCACTCACAGTTGAAGAGTACCTATGATAAAAATTACAGTCATCTACAAGCTTTACAAGTGGGAAAACCTGAAAAATCAACAGTGTATCAAATACTTGTTCTCCCCACTGTATATATATATAATTTATTAATTTATTTATTGTTGTTTGTTTTCTAATGCCAGAAGATTAAAGTAAAAAAAAGAAGAGTTTTGTGGCATGTCTGTTATTTATTTATTTATTTTTTTTTTTTATTAAACCATTGAGTGAGTCCATGAGTGGTAGTTCCATATTTTTTGGTTTCAGGAAAAAAAATAATAAAGGGAGACATTAAGTTGAGCATTACAGCTGGGCATACAAATAAACGTCTTTTAATGTTAATATACAGTAGTTTCATTCCAAGAACCAAAGCTGCAGACTCAAACAGGCTGTTAGTCGTTAAGTATTTTTCTCCATGTGTCATTACAGGAGACTCTTGTAACCAAGGCTCTGATGGCTCAGAGGTTTCCCACCTTGGGAAGGTAATGTTTTCTCTGCACACGACAACTTATTGTTCCCCATCGCTGAGCGAAGAGGGAGAATTGGACATGCCCTCTGTTCATCATCCGTGCATGCTGTGAGCATGATAGCTTGAAAAATAAGTGAGGTACCACCTTCCTTTTTGGCGTTTGACTAGATCTACGTGTAAGAAAGTTTCCCTTCGAAAATTGGATTGCCAGGTCAAACTTCAAGATGGCTGCCGCCATTAATGTCTGTCCATGTTGTGAGAATAACTTGGAAAAAAAACAACAAAGTGTTAACCTCCATTTTGCTGTGTACAGTAGTCCCTCGTTTATCACGGAGCATCCGTACCCTGAAGACCCGCAATAGGTGAAAAACCGTGAAGTAGGAATAGTAGTACAAGTAGTAGTTTATA